CTTTGTCTCTCTCTGTGTGGTTAAAAATAACAACAGCAACAAATGGAATTAAATAAATAATTCTTTCAAGAAAAAAAAGATATGTTCTGAATATGCCTTTATAATTATAACAGCAATAACGATGACAATAACGCTACCATAGTTACTATTTATGATCATCTGTTGTGGTGATGAGTTCTAAGCAATTTTCATTTAAAAATCTTTAAAATATTAGAATCTTTAAGGCAGGTGTTTCAGAGATGAAGAGATAGGTTCACAGGACTTGCAACAGGGCTCTCCAGGCAGAGGTAAAACATTTGGTTTCGTATTGAACCAACCTACTGCGGATGCAGGGGTGGGGATGAGGGAGTTCTGCCAGAGCCACTGAGGTGCATGTGGCAAGACGGAGCAGAGTTTAGAAACCTCGTGCTGTACACCACCACCCCTGCTCTCAGTCCAGTGCCTCCCTGCCATCCCCACAGGCAATTCTATTTTTAAAACACTGTTCGATTATGGCTCTGGATGTAATAGTCAAAATATTTTAGGATTACTTTTGTAGGTTTTCTAACATTTCTTTTAAACTCTAAAGCCTTACCATACTTCAGAATATTTACTAGAAATACAACTGTCAGAACTTGTAGAATAACAAATCCTTGGTCCTGAAGTTTTTAAAACTGGAGACAGTACTAAACCAACAATATTTTCCAATGGTATGCCTGCTACTTCTCAGTCTTTAGTCCTCTCACCTTTGATACAGCTCTAAACAACTCATATGATCAAAATCTACTTTCAGGGGCTGGCAGGTGGCATGGTGGTTAAAGGGGCTGGACTCCCACATGGCCGACAGTGGTTAGAGTCCTGGTGGTGGCTTGCTTTCTCACTTTCCCTCTCTCCCTCTGATCAAACTGGAAAGTAATAATAATAAAGTGAAATAAAATAATTATTAAAAAAATACACTTTCATCTCCAGTTTTCCTCACAGCATCATCGTTTCTAGGGCATCAAGCGTGTTCTCTCTAGGTTTAGTGTATTTCACACACAGTGAAAATATCCAAGATAATGAGAGTAGTGATTATCACTTAATTTTGGGTTTAACTTGAAATAACCTAACATGTGAACATACTTAATACGTTCTTTTGGGGAATGACTGAATAGAAACTAATGTTTACTGTAAAAGCAAACAACTGGCAGATGTATGATTTTGTGTATACTACCATTTTAAAAATGTGATACCTAAGTAAGACATAATAGTTTACTAACAGTATTAGAAAGCTAAAATATCAGCCAAATCTAGATTGTGACATCAGAATGCAAAAAGTGATAAACATTTACAGTAGAAAATTTAGATATGTCATAGTGTATGGGGTGAGGAGCATCAAGGACTTGGGCTTCTTTTCTTTCCTTTTTTACAAGTTTTTTAAAAAAATATTTAACTTTATCGATTTGTTGATTTATTTTAATTTGACCGGGGATGGGGGAGAGAGAGAGACAAAGTGAGAAAGCAAGCCGCCAAGGTCCTGGACTCGAACCCCAGTGGGCCATGTGGGAGTCCAGGGCCCTTGATCACACCACCACCTGCTGGCCCCTTTGTGAGGTTTTTGCCATAGGGTGTGGGTAGCTCCCAACAGAGTCCAGACATTCCACAAATGATTGTTGCGGGTACTAGTGTAAAAACAGAAGTCTAAGAACTGTTACTCATTTGTTTATATTGTGGAATTTGGCACGTTAAACACTTAGACATGAGAATATGTACATAACTTCAAATTGTAAGAAGTTTACTATTTCAATGGGTATTTTTCTTTTCCTGATACCTTTTCTTTCATCTAGTCTCTCAATCTCCATATAGATTCTTTAGATTTACTCCAGCAAATAAAGCAAACCCCACAAGATGGTTGCTAATGCTCTTCCTGTCAGGACGTCCACAATGCCCAGTGTGCTCACTGCTCTGTAACAAGCCCAGCACAATTCAGCCTTTTTTCCGGCCATCCTCGGCCAGATGGTGTCCTCTCTCCAGTCTCACGGTAATCAAGTGTAACTTGTTCAAATCTTGGCCATCTCTGGGAAGGATACGCTGCGTGCCTTCTTTCTCAGAACTCCTCAGCACTTGCTGCCAGGTAGTTATTCGTATCTGGAAACGACTACTCTGCACTAGTGGTCACCTGTCTGTTCAGAAGATAGGCTTCTCAAAGGTGGACTATTTCCCCCTTTACAGACATGTCTCCAGTGTTTCCTCATTTATTTACTCTTCTCTTTCTCCCTGAAGATTATATTTTTTTCGAACTTAAAAAGCGAATGCAGGAGGCATCCTGTCCAACCTCCCATCACTGTAGAAATGCCCCCCACAGGACACCTTGGGAACGGAGGGTGGCAGGTGGATTTATGATTCAAAAACCACTGAAAATAATGCCATTTGCTGGAAATATTCCTATTCCATTCAATTTCCATGGATACTTCTCTCGTGTTTCAGAATTTGGGGTCAATCAAAGAGCAAGATTAATTTTGATTTAGGTAACTGAGAGAGATGAACACAAAGAACAGAAAAATGCTTCGTTGTAAATGGAAATACATTTTTAAAAAGTCTTATATTTCTAATAATTTAGATTTTATGTGAAATATCAAATAACCATTTTTTTTGAGAAACGGTTTTTGGGGGAAAAAACAAAATTCAGTCAGTTTTCAATGAACTAAATCTGAAATTATATAGCTGTGATGTAATAAAGATTACTACTTAAAATCCACTGGTAAATTTGACAAAAAATGTTTACCTTGAATAAAGTACTTAAAGAAAAGAGTTTTATAAAATACACATAAAGTCTTTAAAAATTTCTAGTCTACTAGCACCTCCTAGTGGAAAGTTTAAAGGATACAATTCCAACCAATCGGAATTCAGAATAGTTATCACATTTAAAGCTGCTAAACCAATGGCAGTGTGAATCCTTATGATATGTAAACATGCCTGAAAGAAAGAAAATGTAACTTTATTATTAATATGGCCAACTTAAAAAGAGTGGTAAAAATGTACATGACATTTCATCTGTCAGAAACAAATGATTTTAGCATTGGTTCTGTGATAAAAATCATCCTTCATGTTAAAAATGTCATATTCTTTATTTAAGAGACCATATGTTTACAAATCTCAGCACATAATGTACTAGACATGTAGTGAGAACATCTTATTGTTCATTAGTTTCCTGAACCAAGAGTAAAACAGTAAAACTAAATTAATCCGACTTTGTATAATCTATAGTTTTATAGTTTATAAGCTACAGTCAAAATTTATTTTGAGGATTACCTAGAAAATTTAATTTATCTATGTCATCTACATTTCCTATTACCAGAAGGATGATGCATGTGTGTGTGTGTGTGTGTAAAATATAATATATATATATGCTTATATATAAAGAAAACTAAAAAAATGAGAAAAACATTTCACAGATACTAAGGATTATACAGCTGGTTTCTCTAAATAAAATAAAACTTAAACTCTTAACAGTTATGAAGAAATGCTGTTCACAGAAATGATTTACCATAATCTGGGTGAAAAATTTGGCGAATCAGAAGAAGGAACCACTCTTTAGTCAAGCCGCCCATATCCAAACCAGCTTCCCCTACAAATGTAACTTTCAACTTCTTTTTCAAGTCTGCTCTTTTCCGGGTTAACTATTGGAAAAAAAATTATAGAGTAGAGGGGAAAAAAAAAAAAGATGGTGAAAAGGGAATTAATTTTTTTAATTCTGGGAAATAGGCCTGGCAGTCTTTATCTTATTTACAATGTCCTAAAACTTCATGCGTGCATATATCCATCCATCCAATACAATTGTCAGATACCTGTATGGGCCAGGTTTTATTATGCTTGCTTTATAGATCAGGAAACAGAAAGGCCAGGTGCCTTGCCCAGTGTTACAGCCTCCCAATATCATGATGCCTCCAAAATGTTAACAGCTGGTTTCTCTAAATAAAATAAAACTTAAACTCTTAACAGTTATGAAGAAATGCTGTTCACAGAAATGATTTACCATAATCTGGGTGAAAAATTTGGCGAATCAGAAGAAGGAACCACTCTTTAGTCAAGCCGCCCATATCCAAACCAGCTTCCCCTACAAATGTAACTTTCAACTTCTTTTTCAAGTCTGCTCTTTTCCGGGTTAACTATTGGAAAAAAAATTATAGAGTAGAGGGGAAAAAAAAAAAAGATGGTGAAAAGGGAATTAATTTTTTTAATTCTGGGAAATAGGCCTGGCAGTCTTTATCTTATTTACAATGTCCTAAAACTTCATGCGTGCATATATCCATCCATCCAATACAATTGTCAGATACCTGTATGGGCCAGGTTTTATTATGCTTGCTTTATAGATCAGGAAACAGAAAGGCCAGGTGCCTTGCCCAGTGTTACAGCCTCCCAATATCATGATGCCTCCAAAATGTTAATTTAGCACACTATAATATAATTCATTTCCTTTCTATAGCTCTCCTTCAATGCTACATCTTAAAATCACATAGCTCAATCGATTATTATCTTCTAACAGCCACATGGAGATCTAGCTGAAGCACTGCACTCACAGGAAGCTCCTGACACATGTATGAGCAAAGCACGTGTGAACTTGAACAGGCCCAAAACAGCCTACGGGGGTGCCCTCTGATTTTACATACGAGTAATCACAGGCCCAACAAGCTAAAGTGACTTGTTACACACCTAACCAGTAACAAAGGTGAGTACGGCATCCAGTTACATACTTAGACATAGGAGTTATTCATTTACATATTCTACATCAAATCCTTTTCTGGGGAATTATCAATAAAACATTAATAAACATGTACAAATGAATGTAAGATGTAATTAGGAACACAGAGCTTATTTTAACCATGGTATCAAAATTTAAGGAGGTATACACTGGCATGCAAAAAATCCAGCTTATTAAATTTTAGCAATAAATCACAATTAGAATTTATTTAAACTTTTGATCAATTAATACTATTTTGGAATAAATTATACCTCATCAAGTGAGTCGCTAACCAGATGTGTCCGCCTTACTTTCATATTCAGAAATAGCATATTCATGTCAGGTCTCTGTCTTCGAGAAACTTTATCCACCAGACTTTGCTAATTAAATAAGAAGCAAATATTTTCATTTTTATTTAAACCATACTTTCATGTTAAACATTTGAACATTTAGTCAAAATCACTTAATTCTTGTCTATGTCATCTTTTGTATGAAAAAATTTTGTAATAAAGTATACACATTTTGGTTTGCAAAAATATCTTTTAATTATTTTATTGTGGAACAATGATAACCAAAGGAGGTCCAAAGTAGAGAACCAAAAATAATTCATCTTCTATAATAAAGAACACTGCACTACAGTTTTTCACCTCAACTCCAAAATAGCAGAGTTTTCTGTTTAATAAGTAAAAACATAAAATAGAAATATTTTTAAAAAGGTATACACATCTGATGATAAACCTAGGCTTAATCTTTTTTCTATATGTACTCTAAAGGCACAATTAGTCCACTTTAGGAAGATAATTTGTCAACATTTATCAAAGACCTTAAAAATGTTCACACTCTTTGTCCTAATATTTCCACTTCTGGGATTTCTAAACACAAAAATATTTTATATAGCGAGCTGCTCATGATAGCATTATCTATAAAAGTGAAATGTTACAACAGAACAATCCTAAGAATATATCTAGCAAGCAGAATGTAACACAGCTTCTAAGATATGATGGTCACAAACCCAAGGAGGGTACGACTAAAGAAAGTAGGGTACAAGACTCTGTGTACACTACTGTTTTAATTCTGTTGCCTTTAAAGATAATATAGAAAATAATTAAAAGAAAATTTACTAAAATATTAACTAATTATGTTTGAGTGATGAAGATACTGGCAATTAAAAAAAAATCTATTTTCCATGATATAATCTGAGTATGTATAAAATATTTTCAAAATCTATGTTATTTTATCATATCAAATCTATATGACTGTATATTTACTTAAGCATTCACTATTAGTCCTTATATTGTCAGACAACAATGAAAGCTAATCATGGTACAGATTAAAAAGGAATATTTTAGGCATTGTAAATACATGCAGTAACTTGTTTTATAAAGTTTTAATATCCCAAATTAATAAAATCCAAGGCTATGCATGACTTTGTAGATTACTAAAATAAAACACTAATCAAAGCCTTTTCTTCTCTCCAGTGTTAAAGGCTTTTAGCAGGTTTTTGCTTTTCTGGGTTTTTCCTTACCACAAAAAAAAAAAATCTTCCTGTGTCTTAGATCTTGTAGCCCTATGTTCTGTTCCCAGTTTAGTCCTGGAAAATTGTCATACTGAAAATATCCAATAAGCGAATTTATGCTAAGCTGCTCACAGAAAAGCTTAGTGGCTACTCCTCCCATCAGGATTCAAATTTACTAGAAAATGCTCCAAATTAAAGAAATAATCCGACAATGGCAGAATTCCAGACAGTCAGATTACGTTATTTTTAGGTAAGGGAACCTCTTTTGCAACTTCAGATTGTACCATATGCATTCTTACTTTACACTATTTATAAGGCTGTCCTTGAGTCATGGCTGTCACTAGTCATCAATCCCAGGTAGTTAAAATGTTGGGGAACACCCATAAGAACTGACTCTTTAATCTCTACTCATTTGCTTCCATGCTCTGTGGAAGACTCGGCCTATGACAGTCATCTGTCACTCTCTAAGTAGAAGAAAAATTCTACAGAAGAAAACATTTGAAAGCTTAAGTGTAAATGACACAGAAAACTGTTCAGAGAAATTTAAAAGAACTAGACTCTAGCTCTTTAGATTTTTTTCTTACAATTATTAAAAGTCATAGCCCAAAGGTGAAAAAATGCTAAAATGGCACATGCCATAATACAAATGCAAGTGATAGAAAATGTTATAATGACTAGTTACAAAGAGTAATCTTTGAGCCAGTATCTATCTACCCAAGACCAAGCAAGAATTCTGGTGCTAAATATACCTGTTTAATGTAAACTCATTATTTCAGAGGGGCAGTGTGGCTTTGGAATTCCCTTGTAGACACAGACAATAACATTTCTTCTAATATTCCCATACTCAGGATAAGCTGACTTTCAAAGTCTCTAGTCACTCAATCTTTAGTCCTTCAGTGTGATAGAAAAAAAGTACTCACCTTCTGAGAACTGAATTACTGAAGAATAGGTAATTTTTTAAAATAGTATTTTGAAGTCTTACAATTTACGTTTTAGGATTCTTTTGCTATCTTTGGATGACACATGGAAATAATTTCTTTTTATTTTATATTTCTCTTTTTATTTTAAGGAGACTATCACCAAGTTTTCCACTAATTGTTAGTTGTAAGCAACTATGTCATATGAACAGATGCCTGAAATAGACAAACGTTTAAATGTACAGTCTAGAGCCTAATTAAAAAACTCACTGAATCTGATCCCCATTAGATAAAGGATGTAACTAGTGTGCTATGTCAAAACACCAGTGGGAGAGGATAGGATGGTGAAGACCGGCCCGTGGACCGACTCCATCCTGATCTGCAATTGGCCTAAAGTCAGCCTGCCTACAGCTCCAGCTTCTACAGGCCTTCATGGATTTTGGTTTCCTAAATTAATAAAACATCTTTTACACTTTGGAGGCATTTGTCAGTTCTTCAAGAAACACATTTTTGGTAACATTTTCTGATTTCCTGGTCGCTTCTGATTTTCGTAAAGTCCAGAAAACGTTTCGGTGGTTTGCGTGGCTTGCCTGAAGGACACAGTTCTCACTGACGCTCTGCTGGTTAGCTGGGGCTGGAGCACGCTGTCTACAATAATGGGATCCAACAAGCTCCCAGTAATTTGGGTCCATGAGAAGCATTTAATCTTCCTGCTATATTTATAATATTTTGGGTCATCAGAAAAGACATGGCATATTTTTCTATGCAAAAATGCATAGGTGATCCAAGAAGAAGAAGCTTATTAGAAGAGATGAGGAGAGTCACGTCCCCCGTGTTGTGAAGAGTTTAAGTACTTTTGGGGGGTGTACAATATGAACTTTACTTTTAACATTTCCTAATTACACTAGAACAATTCACAAGACATTAGACTTATTTATTAAGTATTCACTGTATTGATTACAGTCAGCATAAACATATTTGTATAGCTGGCTTACCCTTGCGATGCTTATCATCTGTTGTTCTGAATCTCTTTGAATAATGATTTTTTTTGCAGCTATTGAAATAACGAATGGGTACTGACAGAAGGAAAACCTGCTCAACAAGTGGAGACAGAAAAAGCAAAATGGAGTATTTTTAGTATAATTATACTAAGGGTATGTAAGGAACTCCTTCTAGCAATATAAAACATTATTTCAGTATTTTACCATTTACAAAACAATTTGATGAGCACCCACTTCTTTAATTCCTACAGTCCCGTGAAAAATGTATCATTACTAGATGTGCACAGCCCCTTTATTCTCTAGGGAAGCTACATGTAATGCTCTGGAACGTGTACTTATCACCCACACTGTTTACACAGGTAACACAGTTTACACAGTCACTTGCGCGTTTCTACCTGTGAACCAAGAGGCAGAAGTGTTGATGAAGGAGGACTAGGATAGACACTCGTATGCTCAAATTAATATAAGAATCCATTAATTTAGTTTGTTTTATTTTTGAGAGTTTTTTTCTGCTATAGGACACGTGTTTGCCAGGAAGACAGAGAGACAGAAAGAGAGAAATCACCCCCCAGGGGGGATGGCCACACCGCAATCCCTTCTCTTTCATTTTCTCGGGATCTTGGGCACGCATGCACGTGTGTCCAACGTGAGTTTAAGCCACTGGGTCTGGGACTCGAACCGTGGTTGACTATGTGGGAGTTCAGCAGCATAGCCATTATGCCATATGCTGGTCCCAAATATCCATTATTATATTGCCATTTCTGATAGATGAGCTTCAGGTATGAAGAAATCTAGTAATAACTACAGCTTGTAAAACAAAGCAATAAATTTAAGGCTAATACAATAAAGTTAGGAGAAAAAGTATGTTGTTGTCAATATTGGGTTGCCGGGAAAGTCATGGGTGCATTTTTGCATAAAAACCCAGAAAAATATGTCATGGCTTTCCAGATTAACCTAATTCTTTTTTAAGGGTGTAGTAATATAAAATGGTATGTGTTTGTAACTTCTCTTCTGGGTCAGAGTTCATTTTAGGCTATGTACAAAAGCCACATATGACAGAGAGAATGCACATAGACAAAGCGTGTATGGCAGCATTGATATTTTAGGCACTGGACTCTCATTAGAGGTGACTGCAATGACTGCATCAATCACAGCCAGGATCCATCTGAGCATAGTCAGGCTGAGTGTTGGTCATATCACTAGGAGGGCCCAAGCATGAATCGAAAATGAGACAGTTTTTGTTTGCCCTGGGACAAAACTGTTAATAAACAGTAGAAGTTGTTCCACACTAGTGCATAATAATTTTGAATCATTAATGTTAACTAAGAATTTGGAAATAAAAGACAATGCAATAATTTCAGTAGAACATATAAGGTTTCATTATGTATTTTAAAAGTTTTCTTCAACCCGTTCCTTGACATGTAGCTATGTGCACGGCACTGTACTCTGTGTATGACACGCTGAGCTGAGGCTGCTTGTGGCCAGATCTGCCCTAGGGCTTTGGTCCCTCTCCAGGTTCATGCTGACTGCCTAAGGGCTACAGGGGTCATAGAATCAAAATTCCTATGTAACTCATTCTTGGCACACCAGTGCTGTGGGACAGAGACTAGAGGAAGTTCTGCATGGAAAGATGTTATCACCGATAAATTCATAATAACTGGGACTGGGGCATGGCCATTTCTCCTGGGGGGGGTGATTTCTCGCTTTCTGTCTCTCTGTCTCTCTCTGTCTTTCTGGTGAGCACACTCGCCCGACAACAAAAACCTTTCCAAAGGAAAAAAAAAAGTTTGTTTTGATCCCTGTGTTGGAAGACAGCATTCAGAATGATAAGATACAAGAAACTGTGGGAACCAACAGTTAGCGTAATGGCTATGTCGCTGAACTCCCACGTAGTCGACCGCGGTTTGCTTCCTGGACCCGGTGGCTTAAAACTCACGCTGGATGCGTGTGCGTGTGTGCCCAAGATCCTGAGAGGAGAATGGAGGAGAAGGGATTGCGGCGTGACCATCCCCCTGGGGGGTGATTTCTCGCTTTCTGTCTCTGTCTCTCTCTGTCTGGCAAGCGCATGCGCCCTATAGCGAAAACCTCCCCCCCCCAAAAGAAAAGAAAGAAAGAAAGAAAGAAAGAAAGAAAGAAAGAAAGAAAGAAAGAAAGAAACTGCATACTAAGGTAGAACCTTTCCCTTCTTGGAAAGATGCTATTAATGAACTCAAACCAAATTTGTATGTATATGAATTCAAAAGGTAGCAAAAAAAAAAAAAAACCACTTTAACAGTAATAGTGGTATTTCAAGGCTGGATATCTAAATTGCATTTGTAAGTTTATATGTAAAGGTATTGGTAGGCATATTTCATTTATATAAGCTAAAACCCAGTCATTATTTTCAATACTGTTTCAAAGTAGATAAAAAAATCAAACGAGCTTTTGCTCGTACCTGTGAGAGTTCCCAAAGCTCTGCCAAGTGTGATATTCTTCCATGAGATCAATGTGATCCAACGTGGAATTATAGAAGTCAGTGTAAGGAATAAGGGGAGGATTAACCAAATTGTTTGCAGTATCTGTAGAGATAAATTCTAATATAAAGATCTTTTTCAACATGCACATGATTCATTCTAATAATAAGAACACCATTGTAAAATCTACCAGATAATCTTGATGTACTGCTATTTCAAACAATTACTTCTTTCCCTGAAATTCCAAATAAAAAAGGTAATTTCAAAATTGTGGTCAAGGTGCAGCCGATGACGCCATACTTTTATAAAAGCCTGCAGTGGGGATTCTAATGGCATTAGAGGTAGCAAGCAGATGGCCATCAACTCATAATTCCTCATCACTGTGTTCTCTCCCAGGGACCCTCAAGAATTCATGGATGTTCCTGTTTTCTCAGGAATCATAACTTAGCAGATCATATGCACTTGAGACCCATAATACAGAATACTGCCCAGGAAAAGGCAGAAAGCTTGTTCAGGCTTGTCAATTAATAGTGAGACCCAGTATCAAGACAAAATAAATTACAACTCTTCCTGTAAAGGAATGGTTTAAAATTTAAGAATGCCTATATAGTACTATGAGATTGTTAAGAAATGTCCCTAATATTTAACGAAAGAAAAGTAAAGATGATAGAATAATAAAAACCTACTAAGTAAAGCCAATACTTTAGATGCTGATGGAATCCACCAGGAACACTTTGCTATAGGTGGAAATTCTTCAGGCTTTGCAGGAAATAGGCGTAAAGAAATAAATTGCAGCAATCTCTCCACCAACTGTTTAAACCTCTTCTGGGATAATCTAGTGAAGATTTTGAAATAATTCTAATTAAAATTCACATTTTTCATTTTGGCAATGTATTTGTCAGATATCAAACTATATCCCATATAAACAAAACTTTAGACTATTTTCCCAAATTCTATTTACTCAACTGCTGAGTATTTAAAAAGATGCAAGATCTTATCTTTTTCTTCATAAGAGATAAACCCAAAGCCCACATGCAGCAGTACATGCCGGCACACAAGGCCACTGGGCGGGCCGGGGCCGCATGGAGGCCTGGGCTCAATTTCTGGCCCACTCTAAAGGCTGGGCATGCTTGCATTATTCACTGCTTCTTATACCTGTAAAAGTACCCACTTGCTAAAATTAACTGTAAAGCCAAAATCAATACTTGTACTTTGGTGGTCATTTGAAGACATGCAAAGACTGGTAAAAAATCTGAGTTGTGGGGCCAGCAGGTGGCATGGTGATTAAGGTGCTAGACTCACACGTGGCTAACTGTGGTTCAAGTCCCGGATATGGGAGCTTGAAAAATCATGCCTGGTGAGTGTGCATACGTGCCCAAAATCTCAGGAAGAGGATAGAGAAGATGACTGCGGTGTGGCCATCCTCCCTGGGGGGGTGATTTCTCACCTTCCCTCTCACTGTTTCTCTCTGGTGAGCAGACTATGGCAAAAATCTTAAATTAAAAAAAAAGAAAAAAAAAAAAGAAAAGAAAAAGAAAGAAATAAATTTAAGTTGCCTGACAGGTCTATTCCCAGCTGAGGTCTAACAAGGTGACACTTTCAACTCTCATACTGCAAACAAATGTCTTTTAGGCAGTCTATGGTCAATTTTAAAAAATATTTTTGTGCTTTTTCTAGGTGATTTCACTGTGTTCCTATGTATGAGAAGGACGTGCCAGTGGGGGCTGTAGTGGTTGAGGCTCTGGATCTCCACAGGGTAGACCGCAATTCAAGACCCAGATCCAGTGGCTTAAAACTCATGCCAGGTGTGTGTGCCTGTGTACCCAAAATCCCAAGAGGAGGATGGAGATGAAGGGACTGCGGCATGGCCATCCCCCTTTGGGGATGATTTCCACTTTCTCTTCTTCTCTTTCTCTGGCTAGCGCGTGCACCCTATAGCAAAAATCTCTCTAAAAAAAGGACGTGCTATGCCTTCTAGAGAAAATATGTGTTAGATGAAGCTGCTTCAGGCACTGCATTCACGTTGGCGACTAGTTCAATGTTAATGAGTCAACAACTTGTATTAAATCAAGTGTCTTCAAATGGCAACACTTACAAAGCAAAGTTATATACTGATCAATGGATGAAAACATGATCAGAGACTCACAGGTGCCTAACCCTGTATTTCTCCTCAAAGCAAAAAGGATTAGTATTTGCTAATTTATTGTCTGTAGTGACTTTATAGAATATGACTACTGAGAATAATGAGAACTGACTGCATTAATTTTTAAACTATTTTGCCTTTTTTACCGTTTGTCAATCATGAGGAAAAGTCACTGTTGATATAATTCTGTGGAAAGAAAGTACTGTGTTTTTACAAATTGATACTAATAGCTAACTCCCATTTTGCAATGATGATCTTAGATGAGGAGAAAGCCCCATGTAAATAAATAGTGGTGAGATTTCCTGACGTACAGATAGGAAGTAAAAAGACATATGTTAAAATAGTAATATTTGAGCAAATCCGGTCACCATATATCTTTTATATCGAAAACCAATGGTAAGAATGCAATACATAAATGTGAAAACAGTGGATAGATATCCTCAACAGCGTGCACAAGCAAAATGGTTACTTACATTAAAAACAGGTTTTTAATTATCCTCTCTATAGTAGTACTAAAGTGTAGTTTTATAAACTGGCTTTTGAAGCATTGTGAATCGTAAGTATCATTTCTAAAGACCTAAAAACACTTAAATATATTTTGTTACAGAATTATATCAAAGCTAAAGCTATGAGACTTTAAAAGCTCTTAATATCATAGAATGATTTACTTTTTAAACCAGTGAACTAGGAAATGATGGTCAGCTTCCACTAAGGTGGCTATCTGTCGGAGCAAGTGAGCATAGATGACATACGTAGAAGTGTTATTAAACTGAGGATTCTGAAAAAGATATTAAAGACAACTGTATTAAAAATCTGTTCACATATAAAAGGACAGATACTTAAGTTTAATGAGTTAAGTGATAAATTCAGGAAATGAAATTAGAGATAATAAAGACTTTAGAATAATTATCTATCTATTATTTAATGAACAGAGACTTTGATTTACACAATGATTTAGCAGAAAGAGCACAGACTTGGGGTTAAGACAGATCTGGGTGGAGGGCTAATTCTACTACTTACTAGCTGTGTGTCTTTAGGCATGTTTCTTAAACTCTGATTTTCAAATGCCCCATCTGTAAAATGGGATTTATGATATCTATTTTAAGAGTAGTTTTGAGTATTAAAAAAAAAAGTATGTAAAGCACCTAGCTCAATGCCTTCAAAAATGGTGGCAATTGTTATTCAGTTAAACAAATGACTTGAGTTTTCCTTGATTTTAAAAAAGAAAGCTAGGGGGACAAGCTGATGGTGTGATGGTTACATCACTGGATTCCCAAGTAGTCGATCACGGTTTGAGTCTGAACTGGGTGACTTAAAACTCATGCCAGGCACGTATGCATATGTGCCCAAGATCCCAAGGGGAGAATGGAGGAGAAGGGATTGCAGCATGGTCATCCCCCGTGAGGGATGAATTCTCCCTTTCTGTCTCTTTGTCTCTCTCTCTGTCTTTCTGGTGAACGCACACGCCCTATAGCAAGAAAATCTCTCTTAAAAAAAGTAAAGAAAAGAAAGCTAGGACCAGTTCCATAGAGCAGTAATGAGAAAAGTAGGCTCCCCATAGTGACCGTGATGAAACACACTGGACACTCAGGAAAGTGCCTAAGATCCGATGCTCAGAGAGCTGGAGAAAGAGGGTCAGGGAGTACTGAGAACCTGAGCAGTGTGCTCGCCTCTCTCTTATTACCATGAATAGAGAAAAGAAAAAAGAACGCTATAAATACGAAATAAAAGCTGGGTGTGACACTTCTGTCATACTGAAGTGAAACGAGCTATGATATTCCCTTTTTCCCCTCTAGTTCTGCCCCCTTCTCCTCTTAGTTCTCTATTTCCCCTCTTTACATTTCTCTTCTTAGCTATGTCTTGGCCCATTCTTTCTCATCTTCTACTTCTTTTTTCCCTCTCTTCCCCTCTCCCACCCGTTCTCTATCTCTATCCTGCATATTTCCTTTCAATAAATGTAATATATATCATAATAGAACTAAACACTGCATCTTCTTTAATATAACTTTTGTGCCCTTAAGGGAGATAACAACATATATGAACAACCTGTAAATTATAAAGGATAATACAAATGTAGTATGCTAGCTATGGTATATCACTATTTAAAAAAAATAAAAACTAAAAATTGCTTTTTATTTTTCTGGATCTTATTTTTGTATCTATAAGTCTGTATATCTCAAGGAGGAAAAGTTAATTGCCTTTGCTTTATAGCAAATAGAAACAACAACTATTATCTTTCCACTAAAATTTTTAGATTTTTATTTATTATTATTTGTACATTAAATCACTATATGTTAAAATTCTAACTTATACATTACTGAAAAAATACATAGGGAAGTCAGATGGATTTCTCTTTTTTCTTTTATTTCTCTACTGAATGGAGACACGCAAGCCCTCGAGCCATCAAAACTGGTTACAAGGGAGGAGGCCTGAACAGGGAGGAAGTGCTTCCATTCCACTTCCATCCTGAGTACTAGCAGGTAGGCAAGAAATTAACATTTTAACCCCACATACAATACAGATTCTGACTGTTTATTTGTTACAGCTTTAATCCTCTGGTTACGAGTACCTATAATCTAAAAATGATATTGCCCAAAATGATCTTAATATTTTATATCATTTTGTTTACACATGCACACTGAGATCAGAATTAGACAACTTTTAACTAAATTATTTACCCTTACCTGTAAAAGTATAAAATATGCTCTAAGATCATCTTTCGTTCGTGGACTGAAAAAGAAAGAAGCATAAATAATCTCACAAATGTTTATTTTCATAGTATCTATTTTAAAAATATTTCTGTGAGAACTGAGTTGAGAAAACTAAACACTGGACTTTGAGTTAATATATTATTGAGAGAGGGACCAGCAGTTAGCGTAATGGCTATGTCGCTGGACTCTCATGTAGTCGACCGCGGTTTGCGTCCCGGACCCGGTGACTTAAAACTCACGCCAGGTGTGTGTGCGTGCGTGCCCAAGATCCCGAGAGGAGAATGGAGGAGAAGGGATTGCGGCATGACCATCCCCCCTGGGGGGTGATTTCTCGCTTTCTGTCTCTCTGTCTCTCTCTGTCTGTCTGACGAGCGCACACGCCCTATAGCGAAAATCTCTCCCCCCAAAAATATATATATATATATATTATTGAGAGAACAACATGTCCATAATATAATATAAGTTCTTCTGTGCCTATCCTAGGCTGCTTCTGAAGATACCTATAAACTGAGGTAACTAAGACCATAATATTTTTGGACATAAATACCATAATTAACTTTGGAAATAGTTAAGAGTCTAGTAACTAATCAACAATTTTAGTTTACTTATGTCTTCATTTTAATATGAGATAATCTTCAGAATATTTATGCATTAAAGAAAATAAAAAGCTTGTGTTTAGGTCCATTCCTGAAGTGATATATGTAGAAATGTCTGCAAATCAAGTCATACTTTAAATGCATCTAGTGTGCTTCTCATTCAAAGAATGGTATTTTAGGTATCTCTGAAAAGACAGTAATTTTTAATTTGTTCCATGTTAATCTGGATATTCACATCATAAATTGAGAATCTCTAATCTGAAAATCTGAAACACTCCAAAATCCAAAACTTTTTGAACCTCGATATGTCCCTTTTAAGTGGAAAATTCCCCACCTGACCTCATGTGACGGGTTGCTGTCAAAATGCTGTGTTACAAAAATGTCTGAAATTGCCTTCAGGGTATATGTATGAGAGATAAATGAAACAGAAGTGAATTTTCTGTTTAGACTTGAGGCTCTCTGTAAGATATCTGATATATCTATGTCAATATTCCAAAATCCCTAAAAACCCCAAATCCAAACCATTTCTGGTCCCAAGCATTTCAGTACAGATACTCAACCGGTATCAGATTTGACTGAGAGCGTTTGTTATTCCCAAAGTTAGTGTTTCTCAACCACTCAAGATCTATTTGATATACTCTGACACCCAGAAGGAACTTTATATTTTTATATATATATATATGCTATTGGGCATGTACGCTTGCTGGAGAGACAGAGAGACAAACAGAAAGTAAAAAATCATCCCCCGGAGGGGATGGCCAAGCTGTATCCCTTCTCCTCCACTCTCCTCTTGGGATCTTGGGCACGCACACATGTGCCCAGCGTGAATTTAAGCCACAATGTCTGGGACTTGAACTGTGGTCGACTACATGGGAGTTCAGTGACATAACCACTACTCCATCTGCTGGTCCCCAGGAGCAACTTCTTGAATTAAAAATCCTTCAGCTGTATGACAATCGGATCAATTCATGACTCTTCACTGGATCCTGAATCAAAAAACAAAACCTAGATACTAAAGCTATTGCTATGCCCGAGGCTGATCAGTGTCTTCTCATGCACTTTCTATCTATTTACACTCGGCACTTCAGCTCCAAGCCCCTTCCTGTCCCACTAGTACTTTATAGTGTTGGCAGTGTCATTTATACCCACAAGAATTATCAGGCATGGGCAACAAACAGTGCGAGAGTTGGATTTTTTTAGAATGTTTTTGATGATATTTTTACTTAAGATTCAGGAAGTAGCAACGCCCAGTTTGATCTTAACTCTCCAGTCCTTAGATACTTAACAAACAAGTAGCAGGAGTTTTTTTGTTTCCCCTTTTTTTTTCCCCCCCTGAGGCCAGTGAATTTTCTGTAAGAAAATATGTCTAATTTTAAAAAAGGTCAATTTCTTACTAAGCAAGTGTTCCAAACAGAAAAACAGGCAATTCTGCTAACAGAAAAATGGCCAAGGTATGTAGATAGTTTATGAAAAAAAAAAAAAAAAAAGCTAAAAAGTGACAAAAATATCATCCTTATTAGTACTAGCAGCATTAAGGAAAAGTACCTAAGAATGAGAGCCATCTTTCGCTTACTAAATTACGTCTAGTTTTGATAAAAGGAGATATTAATGAGGGCCTGGGCGGGCCCTTTCACATCCTGCTGTTAGACGCGTACATGGTGATGGCTGCTCTGGAAAGTAACCTGGCAGAATGCAGTAAGTATCTTAAAATGCTCACACTCTGATCCAGTAATTCTACCTCTAGGAAAATTGTAGGTAAATATTCAGAAAAAAAAATTTCTACGAAACATTTGCTGTGGCATTATCTACAAACACAACCACCTTTGGAGAATGTTTGGGAAATGTACACTGCATGTATGTGCTAGGTTATTAGGCAGACATTAAAAATATGGTTTAACAAGAAAAATGCAATTAATTACTAGGAGACTAGAAAATAGGAAAAATACTATAAGGTTAAATATCACATAAATCTATATGATAAGATTTCAATGGTTTTAAAAAGATGACTAGAAAAAAAACACAAAACGGTAAACTTTTTAACATTTTTTCTTCTTTTTTTTTTTTTTTTTTCTTTTTTAGAGGTTTTTGCTATAGGGCGTGTGCACTCGCCAGATAGACAGAGAGAGACAGAGAGATAGACCCCCCAGGGGGGATTGCCACACCACAATCCCTTCTCCTCCATTCTCCTTTTGGGATCTTGGGCACGCACGCACACGTGCCTGGCAATTTAAGCCACCGGGTCTGGAGCTCAAACCGCAGTCGATTACATGAGAGTCCAGCAACACAGCCATTATGCTAACTGCTGGTTTCAACGTTTTAAACATTTTCTGATGACCATTTATTGCTTCCCCTGAGAAGTCACAAATCTCAAGTTGAACCATCTTGTTGAAAATAGTTTGTAATTCCTTTCTGATTTGTGTTATAACTCAATGAAAATGAAATCTTTGTGATTAGGGGCCAGCAGGTGGCATGGAGTTAAAGCACTGGACTCCCACATGGCTGACTGTGGTTTGAGTCTCAAATCTGGCAGCTTGAAAATCACACTGGTTGTGTGTGTGTATATGACCAAAATCCCAGGAGAAGAATGGAGTAGAAGGGTTGTGGTGTGGCCATCCCCCCTGGGGGGTGATTTCTTACTTTCTCTCTCTGTCTCTCTCTAGTGAGCACATGCATCATATGGCAAAAACTTTGGGGGAAAAAAAAGAACTTTGGAATTAAAGTAAAACACATGTGGTACACATATATGAATGACCATCAAATGTGTAAGTTAGCCATCTATTGATTAAATATTGGTTATAATTACCCCTTCCATTCTCTTAACAGGCTGTTAATGATTCCCTTTAATACTGTCTTCTGAATGTCTTGAGGCTATAAGCAAAAGAAAATAAGGTATTCAGAATTAGCTATTTAGGTGAGTTTTATAAGTTATATTTACAGACAGGTCTCAATAGTTAAAAATCAAACTTCATGACTGAAGACTGACACTTAATGATAGTATCAGTTATACATGTGAGAACTCTAAGGAGCTTCAATGATATATTGGGTCATTGGAAAAGTCATGATGCATGTTTGCATAGAAGAACATAGAAAAATTCATCATGACTTTACCAACGGCCCAAATTAAAATGAGAATGCTCCGTGTTAAAATGAGATGTTCAGTGTACAACCTGTACAAATGTATATGGTAGACCTTTGCTGACCATCAATAATTTTATATAATTAAAAAACAATTTTACTTTCCCTAACTTGACAGGATAAAATCATGAACACAAATACAAGAGTAGCACAGTTACCAACATAAAATACTTGCATACAGTTTGAATGTATTTAGTCCTACTCCAAGTTAAAATTATCAGTTAAACTCAGTTCATTATTAAGTAAAACCAAATTATGTTAAAATATTGTAACAGGGCCAGACAGTAACATGGTGATTAAGGTGGCTGGATCTCACATGACTAACTACATGCCTCAAGTAGTAGTTTGACCCAGAGGTTTGAAAAACACATGCGGTGCATGCTTGTGTGTGCCCAAAATCCCAAAAAGAGAAACAGAGGAGATGAGATTGCAGCTTGACTATGCCTCATGGGAGATGCTTTCTCACTTTCACTCTCCCTCTCCTTCACGCACACACCCTATAGCCAATTAAAAGACTGTGTGTGTGTGTGTGTGTGTGTATAGATATATATGTGGTATATGTATATATGTGTGAATGGTAGGACAGATTTGGAAAAGGCATAAAGTAATATTCCTTTATACTGTAGCTTAATAATTTGAATTAAAAAAACTTATTTTCTACCAAATATCTCAAGTAAGAATGATAAAAAATGGGTGCAGTGGTCACTGCGAAAGGCTCACCCACATGTGAAGGTTCTGGATTCATGTCCAGAGACCTCCCAGTGTACACTGGGACTCATGTATTCCTATGATCCAGGGCTGGCGGAGGCTGGGGGATGAATCATGGCATCAAGAACTTGTTGGGGGGTGCTTCTCTGTCTTTCTTGCTCACAGAATAAATAAATTCAAAGAAAAGAAAATCTTTAAAAAATGACTGAAAGTGAAATACATCTATATGGTACTTTAACTTATAATAAATAATAGAATAAAAATTTCAATAACTAGAACCTTCAAATAATCAGTAAAATGTCTGTCATATTGTTATACAAAAGAGGCAAATGTCAAGAAAACAAATGTGTACTATGGACTGACTTCAAGTCCTACACTATGCATCTGTCGTACTCATTCAGCCTAGCTCTTATGTTACATGTGTGTGTGTGTGTTCAATATTAATATGTCATCCTTTCTCTTCCTCTGCTGACAGTAATCCTTCATACCCTGCTCAACCTCTTACTTAGTGTCTGCCCCTGAGCAGTGGAAGGCTACAGGAGAAAAATCAAACAACTGTGCTGGCTGATTGGACACAGTTTAAGTTTATGACTACAAATCTCAAGATGATTCAACATCACTGAGAGTCCTACATTTCCCCAATTTACTTGCTTCCCTGCTCTCCAAAACAAACTATTTCAAACCTACGTAATCCTCAAATCTCTATCTGCTCACCACTCCCTAGGTATGATTTTGCCACCTACGATGGAGAGAAAACAAATGCACACAGATGAGAACAGATTCATTTTCCCAGTATCAATTCTATCCATTTACCTGCCAGTGCATTTGACCAAGACCAACACCTTCATTTGGGTCCTCCATCTCATCCTTTCTCATCTTGTCTCAATGACATGGCTATTAATTTTCTCTTATCTCTCCTGTATCCAAAGTAGTTGTACCAATGTATGTTCACCCAATCAAAGTACGAAAGTTCTAACTGTTCTATAATACTGCTAACACTTGAAAGGTTTTTGAAAAAGTTTTATTAATTTTAATGGATGTGTAATGATATTTCCATTTCTCTGATGACAAATGATGTCAATTAATCTCTCATATATGTAATAGTGAAGATTAGGAATAAAAGAAGTCTGCTATGACTTCTTTTATTCAGAATTACACAAAAGGTGCTAACCAATGCATTAAGGCAAATATGTACAAACATACATATACACTAAAAATTGGAATGAGATAAAACTAATTTTTTTACAGATGACATGAATCTGTACATAGAAAATCCAAATACATTGATGTACTACTGGAATTACTGAGTGAATTTAGCAAAGTAATTAAAGATAAATATATGAAAAGTATTTCCATAGATCAGTCACAATTAGAAAATGAAATTATGATAGCATCTAAAAAACTCAAACTATCTATTATATTATAGAAATAAATATAACAGAAAATGTGTAACACCTCTACTGAGAGCTGTAAAACAGTACTGATAGAGATTAAAAATCCAGGTAACTGGAGGGGTATACCATGTTCATGGGTTGAAAGAATGTCAGTTCTTTACAAATTTGATCTACAGTAGGGAAGTCATCAAAATGTGGCCCCTGGACTGGGAGTATCAACCTATCCTAGGAACTTCTTATACATGAAACTTGGAGGCTTCATGCAAGATCTTTTGAATCTGAAATATGTATGTCAACAAGACCTTCCTGTGAAGAGCCACTGACCTATAGACTCAGTGCAAGGACTGAACTGCTGATCCAGTCCAACCGACTAAACTGAGAACCACTGATGTAGAGTAGTACAATTACAATACAATCAAGTAACTAACCTTCTTACGTTGAGAAAGTATAATTTTGGTAAGCCTTCCTAAACAAGGATTGTATGTATTTTCAGCTTCATTCTCAGTTAATTGGAAAAATAAAAGAATAAAATGATCTGACCTAAGAAATCCAACTACACCTACATAAAATTATATGAGTTTCTAATGTAATTGTGTTATAATGTGACTTTTACAATGTTGGTGTGACTGTTCTTGAAATATCAAAGAAACACAGAATTATACCATTTGCATATGTCCACAAACAATACTTACAGTATTAAGTAAGGCATCATATACAGCATTCACAAATTTAGCATTAATTCCAGAGTCTTCAATGGTATTAAACGAGGCCATGGCATCTTTCTGCAAATATAATTAAAGAATTAAGTGTATGTAACATTTTAAAGACTACTCATAGTAGTAGTATCTGAACCATATTATTCCTTTATAATTTCTATTTTTTATTCTGATGATTAAAAAAAGAACTGGGGCCATACTTGTGGTCTAGTAGTTAAGGAAGCTGGATCTTACATGGCCAACTTTGCGGTTCAAGTCCTGGATCTGGTGGCTTGGAAAACACACCAGGTGCATACACATGTGATCTCAAATCCCAAGAGGAGAATGGAGAAGGGACTGCAGTATAGCCACCCTCACTCAGGGATGATTTCTTACTTCCTCTCTTTCTGGTGAGTACATGCACCCTATAGAAAAAAAAAAAAAAAAAGAAGGGACCAGCAGATGGTGTAATGGTTATGTTGCTGGACCCCCACGTAGTCAACCACAGTTTGAGTTCCAGACCTAGTGGCTTGAGACTTGCACCGGGTGCATGTACGTGCATGCCTAAGATCCTGAGAGGAGAATGGAAGAGAAGGGATTGCAGCGAGGCCATCCCCCCAGAGGTGATTTCTCGCTTTCTGTCTCTCTGTCTCTCCAGTGAGTTCATGCACCCTATAGCAAAAATATCTTAAAAAGAACTGTTAAGGCAAAATTGCTGAAATAAAATGTGTAATAATTAATTTAATAACTGTTTTTAAAATGGAAAGAATCAAGTCAAACATTAATATTAGTATAAATAAAAACAATATCTAAGATCACGAGTAGTATTTATGATACATTTAATTTCAGTAATCATTAAGTATGTTTGTTAAAACAGTTTCTTAAGCCAATATTGGGTAGAAAATTAGGTAAGTTTATCCTATCTTTTTTGGAAAATTTAAAACTAAAAATGAATAAAAACATGTTTTATAAATTATACCTTAAATGCAGCATTTAATTCTGGGAAGGAATCAAATGTTGTTAGGTAAAAATCATGTACTGTTTTCCAATCTCCAGATGACTTAACTTTTTCTACATCTTCCCTAAAATAAAAACACACATTAACCATCTAGATAAAAATATTAAGCACATAAAATAGCATTACTTTTTTACAAATAAATTACATTCAATCTATTATTTAAAATACTGAAATAAAATACAGAAATACATTCTAGTTAATGTAAATATAGTTTGTGAATGTGTAATTCTTAACTGGATGAGGGTATTAATCCAGCTTCACGTTCCTACATCTCGATAGCATACAGCAAAGTTTTTCAATGCATGTATGCAGTACATGCCAATCAAGTCAAAGATATTACCATATTCATCACCCTCAACTGATAACCTTCCATTCTTGTGTCTGTGTGTCTGTTACTTTTCTTTCTCCTGAGCCTCTCTCCCAGCCCGCACTGTCCATCCCTGTCTACAGTCTCTAGTATTCATCTGCTTTAAAAAGTTCATGCTGACATGCCCTTCTAATTACTATATTTTTTTTCTTTTGTACCAAACTTCTGGAGTTTTTATTTTCTTTATCTCTGCCTTCTCATTACGTCTTACTCCTTCAAACATACATTTGGACTTTTTTTGAGCAGTGACACAGCATGTATAGGATGTGTCACAAAGTAGATAAACACTTATTTTCTAAAATGATAATATTCTATTATTTTATCACTATATTTCTCTATTGTCTGCTTTGTCTGACATTGTCTTGGGGTTTCATCTCTATTGCTGCAACATAGCTAACTAACCCTTAATTATTATTTCTACATTTGTTTTCACTTCCAACTTAAAACATCTTGTCGTTTGGTCTTCACTCTTGACTAGTATCTCATAAAGATTCACAAGTTCAGCTAATTTCTCATGCAAAGGCTTAGATATAGAGTGCTGGCATGCAGAGAACTATGAGTCTTCATGTAATAGTTAAGTAGAAACTTAACTGAAAATCTTTCATGGTTTTAGACTGGACAGGAAGGACAGGCTCTGGAAGGACCGGGGCCTTCATTTCAGACGATACTGCATCTACAGACATTCGCTGTTTTTGTCTAACATCAAGGCAAATTGGTGGTAGGTCTCTCACTGTGAAGAACAAAAAACTATTCAATAAAATGAATCATAAACTTTTCCAAATTATAAAATGCCAGCCTAATTCAACATGAATAGAGAACTATTTTGTATTGTATTCACTTTGGGATCATTTAATCAAAAACCTACCATAGTGAAGGACACTTACTAGAAAGCTTAGTCCCTCCTCTCTCATGGCAGGCTGTACCCTAAATTAATGCATACATTCCATGTAGTTTCTTCCTATTCTCCCTTCCCCACAAAAGTTGCCTACTGACTTTTTTCCCCCTCCTCCTTTTGCAAAAGCTGTCTTTCAGAGAATATTTCAGTGAGACTTAAAGTTTTTAATGTTTATTAACTTTCAGAGTATATGCAAGTCATTTATGTTCTCTGCAGTTCTCTACTGAAGTCTTAGCATTTTTTTATGAGCTGAAATTGAAATTTTCAATTCATGGAATTTTTGTGTGTTTCTATTTTTTGGCAAATATTTGCCAGTTTATTGCTCATAACTTCATAACCTTTCATTGTAAAATAAAATATGGAATAATCTCACAAAACAAATGGGTTGCATAATAAATTATTATGAGGCAGACATCTTAGAAATCACTAAAGTTTTACCCACCTTTTCTTTGCTCCAATTACCCAAAATTAGTTGATCTCTTCCTACCTCAGTTTTAGATAATTTCTCTGAAATCCTTTCTATCTCATTTCTTAAATTTTAAACACTAATTCAGTTTTTATTTTTATAATCTTGTCATTTCAAAAACATTATATAAAAGGAATCATACATATGTAACCTTTGGGGATTAGTTTTGTTTCACTCAGCATAATTATCTGGAGATTCATCCAGGTTTTAGCATACATCTCATAAGGCTTCTATAGCACACTGCGGTGCATTACCGCCAAATGTTCCTTCTTTTATAATGTGTGCCCTAAATGTCAGAAAGTTCCTGCTCAGCCCTGTTTTAGCAGTATCTCGTAAATGTTGGCATTTTGTATTTTTATTTTCATTGAGTTCCATCCATTTAAAAAATATCTTTTGAGACGTTCCCTCTGACTCATGGGTTATTTGGAAGTAAGTTGCTTAATTTTCATATGTTTGGAGACTTATTTTCTGTTATTAATTTTCATTGTGGTCAAACAATATACCAGGTCAATTCTATTATTTAAAATTTTTGAGGTTGCTTTATGGCCGAAAATGGTCAATCATGTTCCACTGCCTCTTGAAAAGTAGGCATATTCTGCTATGATTGGGTGGAGTGTGTTATAAATGCCAGTCACAAACTGCTGGCTGATGGTGTTAACATAACCTCTACTGTTTCCTTTGATTAATGTTTACATAAAATGTCTTTTTCTGTCTTTTTTGTTTCAACCTGCTTACACTGCTATGTTTGAATGGAATTTTTTATAAACAGCATGCAGTTATTTTTAAATTAACTCTGCCAATCTCTATCTTTTCTAGGCCATTTATATTAAATGTAATTATCAACAAGGTAGGATGTAAGTCTGCAATTTCATTTTTTGTTTTCTATTTATTTTATTTATCATTTCTCTGTGATCTTTCCTGACTTTCCATGGATTACTTGGACATTTTTTAGATTTCTGTTTTGAATTATATGTAGTGTTTCTGATATCTTAGATACACATACTTTATCACTTTATCATGTTATCATTTCCTCCAGTTGGAGGAAAGTATAGAAATTTTACCTCCTTGTACACCCTTTACATTTCCTTGTTTATAATCTTAAGTATTTCTTTTACATATATTTAAAATGACATGGGATGACACTGTAATTTTTTGTTTTGACTACCAAACATAATTTAGAAAATATGAGAAGAAAAATCTATTGTATTCTTCTGTATTTGTTGATCATCTTCTCTTCACTTTTCAAGGGTCCTTCTTTCACTGTTTCCTTTCTGTTTAGAGAATTGCTTTACTCTTTCTTTCAGAGCAGGTCTAATGGCAACAAATCCTTAGCTTTCCTTTATCTGAGCATATCTGCATATCTTGATTTCTTTTCTATTCCTGATAAAATATTTTCACCAGGTATAGTATTCTGGATTGACAGTTCTTTCAGCACTTGGAAAATATTGTGCCACTTGGTTCTGGCTTCCATGGTTACTAATGAGAAATCCACTACTTTTGAATGATTTTTCTCTTGAAGGTGCCATGCCTTTTTCTGGTTGCTTTCAAGTTGTGTTTTATTTTTTTATTTTTATTTTTTTTTTTGTCTTTAGCTTTCAGGGATTTAATTATGTGTCTTGATGTGTATTTCTCTGAATTTATCCTAGATGGAGTTTGATCCATTTCTTTAATCTGTAGTCTTACGTCTTTTGACAAATGTAGGGAGTTTTCAGCCATTATTTCTTTTTCAGCCCTCCCCTTTTTCTCCTTTCCTGGAACTCCTAATGATAGGAATGTAACATCTTTTGTTTATAGTACCACAGAGTCCTGAGCTTTTTTCCCCCTTATTTTCTATTGTTCAGATTGGGTAATTTCTATTGTTTTATCTTTCAGTTTATTGATTCCTGTCCCCTCCATTTTGCCATTGAGCCCTAAACTTCTTACTTTGGTTTTTGTATTTTCGCAAGTATAAATATTCCTAAATTGATAGAATAGCTTAATATTTCATAGATTTTTAATTCTACAAAAATGAAATGCACATGTATAAAATTTAATTGTAATGTAATGTAAAATCAGGATTATTTTCAACCAAGGAAACTCAGCTGTATTAGTAATCGCAACATAACAAAGGTATAAGATCCTTCTTTTTTACCCACTTTATCATTCAAACATCTACCCTTGCATCTATCTCTACTTCAATGAGGTAAAACAAATTTATTACTGTTTGGGTTAAAGGAAACTATATGAGAAGACAGTATACAGATGCCAATTTTTTATATTCAACTGCGATGGTTTTCAAACTTTCCTGTGCATCAGAATCACCTGGAGTGCTTGCTTAAACATAGACTACTGGGCCCTCCCCAGAGTTTGTGATGCAGCAGGTACTGGGAGGGGCACAAGAATTTGCATTTCTGACATATTCTCAGATGATGGTGATGTTGCTAAGTCTGGGAACCACCCAGAGAAATACTGCTTAACAGTTAGAGATGAGAGGTAAGTTCTGTGCTTACCATACAGAATAGATTATTAAATTTCCTAATTCAATTTTATAATGAATTTTATACCCTTTACTAAATGTGGAAATATCCAATTTCTAGTAAATGGTATTGTAAGCAAAAACTGGACAGAGGTTCAATATATTAGCAGCAAGTAAAATTAGATATCTTTACAAATGATTTCTTATGGATTGTATTTGGAAATGTTTATTAATCAGAAAGCAAAGAATATCTCAACAGAAAGGGAGGACAGTCATTTCCTCTTTTCAATGCCGGTGTTGTTACTGTTATCTTGTGGCTCTGCTGCAGTCTCTCTTCCTCTTCACCAGGCTCACTCTTTTTCATCCCTTCCCACACACCTTTCCCAACCTGGCTACAAACACCCACTATTAAATACAAACAGACTCATTCAAATATAAATTAACTTATTCCTTCACAGAGCATATATACACATTTTTATACCCACTCATTTTTATTAATACCATGCTGAGGTGGAAGAAGAGTAAAATTTGAGTAAGAGAACTAGGTTTTGGCAGAGCCTGAGAGTGGAGGAAATTCTTACATAAGAGAAATAGTAATGCCAAGGCCGAGAGATTACAGAATAACGTTAGAACAAGAGGCCCATATGGACTTTATTTTTAATTCAGAAAGTAACTTGAACTGAGGAGTAATGCAGATTGTTAACACACTATGTTAATGAAACTCAAGTCAGAAAGAATCCTTTGCTCATATTCGTGAATGAAAGCCAAAGTGCAGGATGTGACATTCAGCTATTAGAGAAGAATAACGGCTCCCAGCTGCTCTCATGTCCCTGCATATCAAGGCATTGTTTCCAGAGACAGGTTTTCTGCCTGGTCTCACAGATGGTTATTGAAATCTAATTCAAAGGAGAAAAATCAATAACTATGGTGATCAGAGATTAATTAAATTTCAAACTGATATAAATAGAACAGACAAATCTTTGTTCTATCATATGCAACTCTTTCTGAAATACAGACTACCACAATACACTGAAAAAAAGCCAAAATATATTTATCAGCAAAAACCTGTCATTTAGGTTTCATTCAGCCAATACTTGGGAACACTCTGTGCTAAATTGATAAGCAGTAATCATTCTCCCTTTCTTTTAATATACCATTGCCAATTTTAGTTGGTTGCTTAGATACATCAAATAAAACACTTGAAGCCAATGCAAGAAGAATAGGGGCTGTGATGGGGCCTGGCAGTATATTAAAATATATGAAGATCCTAATAAAACTATGTATAAGGATGTAAGATTATTAGCCAAATTTTGCCAGCTCACTATTTTCATAGACTGACTCTGGTTGGACACTTAGTAAAAGGTATCTTTTCACAACTGTAGTCACCAAAACAAAACCCGACATTTTAAAGTAGCCTTATGAGTAGAGGACTGAGGATAGTTCTGGCTAGCCAGCCCAGAGGTAGACTGGGAATTCCGTAGGAGGAACCTGGGCCTGCAATCCCTACTGCAAGGACCAACTGCTGATCAACTTGGATCACTTTTATGAATAAAAATGACAGGTCGATGATTCTGCAAGGTCGTGTAAAAAGACCTCAGAATCTCATATTATGTATGGACATTTAATTCTCAAAATTTCACTGAAACCACACTAAAAGATTCTGTTATTTTAAAGACATACATCTGTAAGGGATAAAAAGAGCAGGTTTGAGAAGGCCATAGCCTCAAATGTAAAAAGACAGAAAGTAGAGAATCCTGTGAAAACTGACTTAGATCTGAGACAACTGACAACTAAGCCTGATTAGGTAAAGACAAAAAGTAACTTCATTTACACAGTAAAAAGTTTAAAAACACAGAATCTGGAACTTGGTTGGGCTGAAGGGGAGGTTAAGTCAGAGGGGTTGGTTGAAGTAAG